TATATATATATATATATATATGGCATTTTACATAAAAATATTCTCCATATTTAATAAATGTTTTGATTTAATATAAAAGATAATCAATAATGACATACTTTTATTAAACAAAATTCAATTCACCGAAAAAGGGTCCGAAATAAAAATTACTATTTTTAAAATGAAAATTTTTAAGAGGAAAATGGTATGGCGTCATTTTCAATTAAAATGATCGTATTAGCATATATCATTGATAATATAATATTGTTTTCTCATAAGTGTAAAAAAACATTCATATATTATTGAAGTAATGAATTGTATATAGTATATTTTAATATAGAAGTTGCGTGAATTTAAAGGCATTCGAGCTATTTTAAAGGGATAATTTGTGGCATATTTAGGATATGTTTGGAGTAGCTGCAGCATATTAATAAGTTGTTGATAAGCACCTGATTTAGATAAATTGTTGTTTAGCAGCTGATCCAGATAAACTAGTTGAAAAACAAAAAAAAATGATTTTAGAATAGTACAAAAAAAAGATACAGAGTATCAATATTGATAAAAAAAAAAAACTACTAAAATTATAATTAAAAATATGATAATATTAATTTTAAAATCCAGACTGCATGTCACGAGCTACGTCGTCCTCCAGAGATATCATCCAACCCCGATCACTATCAGCAGTGGAATCTGTCAGATTTTTTGCTCACCGGAAGAAGTCACACTTCACTGTGATGCCCCGTAGGTACCTGTAGAACTGTCTCACTCAACTATGTGCCCAACTTGACATCAGTAGAGGCGTTCATAATCTGCAGTGACAGATCATCGTCAGGAGGTCTCTGAAATCTGGAGCTCATCTTTCTTGAATGATTTAAAAGACAAATCATTAGCCATGTTAAAATTGCTAGAAGAAATAATTAATAAATTTTTTTTAAGGAGTTAGGTCTTAGAGAACAAAGTGTACCAACCAACGAATCTTTCACTATAAGAATACAACGAACTTTGTAAAATAAAGGTTCTTGGTTGCCCTTAGCTCACTTAATACCAAGCTCGTGTGTATCACATATGCATATCACCAAAAAAAAGTCATCTAGAAGTACCTCAAAAGCCCCAGCTTTGAAAAGAAGAGAGGAACTTGGTTGCCTTTATCGGAATTCAAATGTGACATCAACCAGCAAATACTAACAAGCCATCTAGACGAACTTACTAGATCGAACGTCTCAACATGGACTTCACAAACTCACAAACAAGAACAGAAAGCAATCAAAAAAGGAGGAAAAACATATAAAAGCATCATTAAACTTACAATATATAAAATTTCATTAATCAAGGGAACATGAAATAAACACAAACTTCATAAATTGATAAAAATAGTAATCAATTACAGTTTTGTGCAGGTGTGAGGTCTCAGAGAACTAAGTACACTAACCCCACTGAACATGTCATAACAAAAAGACGACAGACCTTATAGGTTCTTGGTTGCCTTTAGCTCACTTAATACCAAGTTCGTGTGTGTCACATATGCATATCACAAAAAAAGACCATCCAGAAGTACCTCAAAGACCCTGACATCGAAAAGAAGAGAGGAACTTGATTGCCTTTGTTGAGATTTCACATGTGACCATGGATGGATGATAGTGGCCGGGAGACTATAAATTAACGATTGTGATTAGGTGACTACAGTTCCAGGTAATTATTATCATGTGATAATTGAAAGGTCATAATAAAGAGATTGAGGTCAGATGATCGTACTTGGGTGTCATTGGTGGTTTGATGACAATAATTACACAACTGTGGTTCTAGGATGGTTGTGACCGTCTAACGATGATGGATGGGCAATGCAGCCTGACAAATGTGGATGAATAGTGACAATTTGATAAAATTCGATTATGATAGTCTAAGGATGATGGATGAACAAAATCCAACAACACTAGACAAATGGTGGCAACCCAACAACTGTGTTCAAATAGGGTTGGCCATGTGATTATTGTAGTTGGGTGGTCATTCTCTGATAGTGGTTAAATGATGATGGTCAAGCGGTTGTCGCCTAATGGTAGTGATTGTATGGAACTAGTTCGAATGTAATGGTCAAGCAGTGAAGATCTGACGACAATGGTTAGATAATAATATTCTAATGATAGTGGATTGATAGCAATGTTCATGCAGAGAGAGGCTAAGGATCCTCCAAAACTCTAAGCCATATATTATATTCAATCAAGCCCTAAGTTTACTTCTAGCTCTTCTAGCTCTCACCTATCATCCCCAACTTGGCCTTCATGTAAAAAGTGGGAGTGTGTTTATTAATTTTTTGAGTGGTATCTTTCATAAATACAAAAGATCAGACTACTTTTAATGAATAACTGAAAGTAGCTTTTTTTATTATGAGATATTTTATGATAATTTGATGTCTTAATAATGTTTAAATTAAGCCATTTTTGACAAGTTAGATTTGATCGTTGAGAAACTCAATTTGATTATAAGCATGTAAGATTTAGAGATTACTTTGTCATCCAATTATTAATATAAAATTTTCAGATATCTTTTAAATACTTAATTTTAGTCTCACTTGGACTCAGATCATATTATTTTTTTATCACCTAGTTCGTCTTATTCAGACATTCAGTTAAATTGTAAGTTTTGCCATAATCAAGCCTAGTTAATCTTGAACATCATCCAGAAGTTTTTTAATTTAAAATGCATTAAGATTTGTGTTTGACTAAATTATTTTTTATGATGTATTTATGGCTCTCTTTTTTGAGATAAAATGATACATCAAGACTCCGCATGCAGAGCTGCTTGTGAAGTCTAATCTCGCACTGACACACACACACTTAACTTGCTATTCGTGTGTGTGTGTGTGTGTGTCAGTGATATATATTCCTTTTTTGCTTCAATCTAGGGGTGTAAACGAGCTGAACACGAGTGAGCCCAGGCGTAGCTCATGTTTGACTCATTAAACAGTATCATTGGCCGTGACACACACACACACGAAGCATACATTTAATGTTTCATGAGAACCAAATTATGTCCTTTTTTGCTTCAATCTAGGGGTGTAAACGAGCTGAACACGAGTGAGCCCAGGCGTAGCTCATGTTTGACTCATTAAACAGTATCATTGGCCGTGACACACACACACACGAAGCATACATTTAATGTTTCATGAGAACCAAATTATGTCCTTTTTTGCTTCAATCTAGGGGTGTAAACGAGCTGAACACGAGTGAGCCCAGGCGTAGCTCATGTTTGACTCATTAAACAGTATCATTGGCCGTGTTTGGACCGTTTATATTTCTAACATAAAAAATTTGTTCGTGTACGACTTGTTTGCTTACCAAGCCGAACTCGAGTTATTCGCGAGCAAAGAATTGTTTTGATAACTCTAATCACGAGGAGTAGAATGTTAAGAGTACGGGCGAGATTTAAATCTATTTATTTATATTAAAACATAATTTAAATATATTTAGTATATTTTTATTCTATTTTTTAAAATAATAATTTTGCTTGATTATAATTCTTTGTAGACTAGTAGACAATTAAATTATTTAAAAATTAAATTATTTAAAAATAATACTCACGTGAAAGAAAAAAAATTTTGTTCATGTTTAGCTCGTTTAAATATCGAGCGCAAAAAATTGTTTTTGTTTGGCTTATTTGCATAGTGAACGAATCGAATATAAGCTTCTTAACGGGCCAAGCACAAATTAGTTGCGAACAACGAGCCGTTTTGGCAGCCCTAATCCGTCAATTAGGACTTTGTGAAATCCACCGATATTAAAACATATGACAAAATTTTATTTAATGTAATTATTAAAATTAGACTCCCTTTATTAATTTTTCTAAAAAGAGAGGATTTCATGCCCGGCCCAATTCATCAAGGCCCATTAAATCCACTGGGCAACCATCCTTCTGGACCCTCCACACTTGATGTAATAAACTCAATCAAACAAGTCTACTCAATTACATTGGATTGCTGAGCTGAGATTTAATGTAATAAAATCAGAGTAATTTTGAATTGAATTATTGTTCTAAATTCGAAAAATCAAATAATGACATGGCTAAGTTCTGAGTATTTATACTCTCAATGGCTAAATATTTTTCAAATATTTATTATTTTTCAAATAAATGAGTTGTATGTTAATAACTTTAATTTTACTTTTTTTTATTGGTATTATTAGCTACTCTATTTGCCCATCTTCCATCATATACCAATTATTTGCGAGTATAATTAGATACAAATCATATGAAATATTGATATTTCTAATTAAATAATCAGGTGATTTCCTTAAACTACTGAATCGATGCATTTACACATACTACGATCAAATCATTGAGAAAATGATTAAAATGAGTTGGGGTTTTACCATGAATTTTGATATTTGAGTGAGAATTTAAAAATGGAAGAAAAAGGGCAGTTGATTTGTAAATAAGGTGATTCGGGGGTCTCTATGTCATTACTGTTAGCTGAAGCCTGATAGAAAACCGCTCCAGCCACTCTGTTCCCGATCGCGAAAGGTCTCGACCGTGACTGTGAGGTTTCACGAACTGCTCCTGGTTCACAAAACGCCGCCTCCCTTCACGTCGCTCTGTTCCTTTAACTCGACCGTGACTGTGAGGTTTCACGAACTGCTCCCGCCTCCTGGTTCACGAAACGCCGCCTCCCTTCACGTCGCTCTGTTCCTTTAAGTCGCGAACATGCGGATGGTTGAGTGTGTGCGTGTGGTTCGAGCAAGAGAAGTATCACTCTCCAAGGCCTCTTCTTCGGCAGGCTGGCTCGCGACAAAAGGAAGAAGAAGAAAGACATCGCACAGTCTCTCCTTCAGATTTTGCACGACCCTTTTTTGTGTTCTTCTTCAGGCTTCCATGGGACGGTGGAAGAGAAGTGCAAGATGTAGTTCCTTGCAGCAGAAGGAAGAAGAAAATTATTCTCTCTTGGTTTCTTCTTGGTGATTTGTGGCAGAAGATGAACTGTGTTTAATTCTCTTGTAAATTTATCTTCTTCAATGTATCTCGGAGTAGAGAGAGAAGAAGAAAGAGAACAACAAAGTAAGAGATCCATCTTATAAGTCGAGACAATCGACTGATGTAAATTCCTCAAATAGTAAAATTCTCTGCAACTTCGTGGACGTAGGTAATTTGCCGAACCACACAAATCTGTGTGTTCCGCTGTGTTACCGTTTGCTGGTGTTAATTTTTTCGTTCTATTTTATCTTCATCAAAGATCGTTCTTCTATTTTATATATATACCACAACAATTACCCACGAAAATGCTCTATAAGAATGATGATGATAGAAATAATTTTAAACACAGATTATTTTCATGATGAGAAGAAAAATCAGTAAATGAAAATTCACCATAAGACATCAATTTTAAGAAAAAAACTATACAATATGAAAGAAATTTTCACACTATAATTTGAATGAAATAAAAGAAACTATCAACAGCAAAGCCAGAGAAGAAACACCACCACACAAGGAGGAACTAATCTCAACCGCTCGATGTTCTCAGGTCCTTGGTCTTATTGTTGCTGCGCCGTGTATTGCAAGAATGTACAGGAGCTGGGTTGCTGAAAGTATGATCATAAAAGCTTCCATTGTTCTCTGCAAATACAAGAAAAAAAAATCGAAAATAATTAGTACTTTTCAATGTTTTTGGTTGATTGAATTTATTTTAGACGTACCAGACGTGTATTTCTCCCCTCTAAATCAATTTCCTTGCAGGCCAGACTGCATAAAATAGGAGGAAATTTAGTATATTGACTATCACTTCCTTTATTAACTCACTGCTCTATGCAAAAATAAAAGGAGCCCTAAATAGACTTTGAACTAAACGAGTCTATATATATATATATATATACATACATACAAATTCTCCAATGAAAGTCTTAGGTCGCATACATATTTAACCCAAAAGGACTGTTGGGGTAAACTGCTTTTTAGCAGTTTATTTAAAAAACTGCATTTTCAAATAACTGAAATCAGCATTTTGACATCGTTCCTGGTTTGGTGTGGTGGCAGTTTTCTAGTTGCGATCTGACTTTTACACAAAAAAAAAAAATTGTAATAGTCACCGTAGCTTTTTGAACAACAGATTATTTTTCAGTGACTTATTACTAAGATGCAGTAACCCTAAACAAACCCTAAGAAAATTCACGGGAGTACATATTCATATATTTTAACACTTAAGTTTTAATTATTTGATTAACATGCATACAACACAATTCTTACGTACAGAACTTCTTGATTGAGATGCATACATGCCTCTTTGCTCTCATGTATTTGTTACTTAGAACATGAACATGTAGGCTTACATACACATAATGCAAGCTTCATATAATTTTGATGCAAGTTACGTACAACTCAAACATCCAAGCTTACATACACAACATGCAATTTTCATGCAAATTACATGGAACATAAACAAGTAAGTTTACACGCACATCATGTAATTTTCATGCAATTTGCATGATAAGAACATTTAAATATTTAAGCTTATTTATAAACATGTATACGGGTCCGTTTGGGGTAGCTTATAAGTGCGGGCGGCGTTTTAAAATGCCGCCGTACCGTTTGGTTTGCGCGTTTGGCCAGCTTATCTGAAACTGCGTTTAGGCTTTTTTTACACTAAACGCAGGTCGCGGGTCGACCCCTGCGGCCAGCCTGCGGGCCACGTTTCAAGATAAGCAGCTTATCCTGAAACACACAAGCTGTCCTAAACAGACTCGTAATCTCCAAACAAACTTCCATGCAAGTTACCTTAAACCCGTAATCTCCAAACAAACTTCCATGCAAGTTACCTTATTTTAGCAGTTTATTAAAAAAACTGCATTTTCAAACAACTGAAATCAACATTTCGACATCATTCCTGGTTTGGTGTGGTGGCAGTTTCCTAGTTGCGATCTAGTTTTTCCACAAAAAAAAAAAAAAATTGTAGTAGTCACCGTAGCTTTTTGAACAGCAAATTATTTTTCAGTGACTTATTAATAAGCTGCAGCAACCCTAAACAAACCCTAAGAAAATTCACGGGAGTACATATTCATATATTTTAACACTTAAGTTTTAATTATTTGATTAACATGCATACAACACAATTCTTACGTACAGAACTTCTTGATTGAGATGCATACATGCCTCTTTGCTCTCATGTATTTGTTACTTAGAACATGAACATGTAGGCTTACATACACATAATGCAAGCTTCATATAATTTTGATGCAAGTTACGTACAACTCAAACATCCAAGCTTACATACACAACATGCAATTTTCATGCAAATTACATGGAACATAAACAAGTAAGTTTACACGCACATCATGTAATTTTCATGCAATTTGCATGATAAGAACATTTAAATATTTAAGCTTATTTATAAACATGTATACGGGTCCGTTTGGGGTAGCTTATAAGTGCGGGCGGCGTTTTAAAATGCCGCCGTACCGTTTGGTTTGCGCGTTTGGCCAGCTTATCTGAAACTGCGTTTAGGCTTTTTTTACACTAAACGCAGGTCGCGGGTCGACCCCTGCGGCCAGCCTGCGGGCCACGTTTCAAGATAAGCAGCTTATCCTGAAACACACAAGCTGTCCTAAACAGACTCGTAATCTCCAAACAAACTTCCATGCAAGTTACCTTAGCTTTACATAAACATCAATCTTCATGTCATAACATGCAAGTTTACGTAAATTCCATGCAATTTTCATGAAATTCATATGCTTAGAACATGTAAACACACAAAATTATAATCTCCATGCAATCTTCATAAATTTCAAGGTGTTCCTCCAGTTATGATAATTTGGCCACAAAGTTAGAAGTTATTGCCTTTTTAAAAAAGAATAATTGCAAGCAATTAAAATAACTCTAAATTATAAATAAAAATAATTGAAATAAAGAGAAAGTACATGATACTTGTAGTTCGAAACTTAGAAGAGTTACCCCATGGCAAGAAGAGTAAGAGTCCAGGCAATGACAGCAGAGGAGGCAGCCGCAGGCAAGCTATCAGAATTCCAAGCTCGAAGGTGGTTGATGCCAGCAAGAGCGGCGGCGGCCCCAACAACAGAAGCAATGAGCGCAAATATGACAAAGAAGCCGGTCGCTGCGTTCCCCATTGGGAAGAAAATTGGCGAGAATTGGGCAGGGAGAACCAGCCCAGATGCTGTTCATCAAAATTCTCACAGTACATTACATCAGATAGGATTTCACTAATCATTACTTAGTTTTTTTTTTGAATTAATAAAATAGAAATTTCAATTTAATGAATTTTAATAAGAATAATATTAATTAAAGTGAGATAGTATTTTTAATTTACAAAAAATAATCATTAATAATGATTTACTTTTTTTTATCAATTATAATTACAGTAATTAAGTCACAATTAGCATAGCATATTATTTAATTAATCGTGAGAAAGAATTTATAAATCTAATTAAACATAAGAACTATTGTATAATCAAATTGAATCATAAATAGTATTATTTTAGCTAATTGAATTTTTTTTTAATTAATTAATGCTTATAACGAAATTAATTTGAAATGTAAATTACAAAACTAATTCAGCGTACAATTAATGTTAGAAACCTTCCCTACTCCATGGGGAAAAAAAAAAAAAAAAAAAATCTAATTTTATGTGAGATTTACATACCTACCACCCCCAATTAGTCTGTATTTACATATCAGCCATCTAAACCTCAATTTTGCATACGGATCACCCAATTTATGACGAAAATATGGGAATCCGGTGATCTGTATGTTAAAATTGAAATTTTGATGGTTGACATGTTAATACATAAGGATTGAGTGGTACCATGTAAAGTCCCCATAAATTGTTTAATGATGGGGTTTTTTTGTAATTGTTCTCTTTCTTTCTCAAATTCATCGATCATGTTATATGTTATTAGGGTATGCTAACTTTGTTTTGCAGGAACACGAACATTCAAAAACTGAAGCAAAAGGGTGAACCTCAACTAAACCATTAACGACAAACTAAACTTTAGGATAATTTGAAATCTTTACGAATCCGCTACTCTTAGGATAAGATTTTCCTCACAACCTAAATCCCGATAAAATTATGGAGAAACACTACCAAAATAATCAAAATGATGAAGCGTCAGCATACCAATGATGAAACCATTATCGATGGCAACATCGACCGCCCAACCCCCAATCGCCGCCACGATGGCGTACATGCAGAAGTTAAGGAGAAGAAGAAGGCCAGCCAGAGGCTTAAGCTCTCCTGCCATTGCTTCAATTAACAATTATGTGTATGGAAATAATGTTATTGTCACAACAAACCTTTATTTGCATGAGATTGTGTGGCTTGCTCTTGTTTGCAGCTATGGTTATATATCTGAAAGGATTTATGTAAAGCATGATGAGAATGTTCTTTGCTTGCAGGATATAGCAGGTTTTGAACTTGGCATGGCTGTAAAGGAGAATTGGAAGGCTTTATATCCAAGGAAAGGAGGAGAAGAATATATATGAATGATTGTCCATAAACTAACTATATAAATAATTAAAAAAAAAAAAGCTTAAAATGCATTAAATAAATAAATTTGTAAAAATAAAATTCAAAATTATGGAAAAATGATCCTAAATAAGCCCTTAGGGTTACTTTGAGGGAGAATTTATTGAGAAACTTGAAGGCTGGCACTTTATTCCTTGATAAATTGTGGCAGCTTTGTTAAAGAAATCATGAATGGTTCTTGTCTTTTAAAGGGAGATTAGGATTTCTAGGTTTCTAAGGCACTCAAATATCCTTATTTGAGGAAGGAGTAATCTCTTAATTAGTATTAAAATATCTATTTAATGATGGTGTGGCTGGGATAAAACAATATAAAGGGTGCATTTTCATGTAAATAATAGTCTTATTCACATGACAATACATGTATCAAATATAATGTGTTTCATTCAATATTTTGCATGATATTATGAAAAATTCAATGAAGATTGTGACATATCTTATAGCTTACAAGCAAATTTAAGGAGAGTTAAATTTCAAGAAAATTGGACATAAAATGATTTTTATGAAATCAATAATAAATGTACTTATTACGTGCTGGAATATTTGTGACCTTAGAGTGATAATTTAATGTATTAGCATCATACGAAGTTCCATCATCACCCACACAGATAAAAGAAAAGTAGTGGGAGAAGTTACCGTAATTTTTTATTTGGAAAACGCAAGTTAAAAGGGAAAAAAATTACATGGGCAAGCTCAATCAATGTAAAACACTATGTATTTGTAAATACATAAGTTCACTCTTTTCATGAATTAGAGAAGAAGAAAGTATAAAACATATAATCACAGATGTATAATCACACTTTTTCCATAATAGTCGTAAACGGGCTACAATAAATATAATTCTTGGCTATAATATTAATAGCAGGTCATAAATATAGTCTTCGGTTGCTACACAGACAGTTATTGGCCATGAAGGTTATAGACAGGCTGCAATGACGTTAGTTAGCCATGAAAGTCTTAGTTTGATGTTGTAATAGTATTAGTTGGTCACATAAGCCATAGCTGATAACAACAATATAATAAGTTGGCTACATAGGTCGTAGTTGGAAGTTGTAACAATAGTAGTTGGTCACAAAGTTTGTAATTAGCGGCTTTAATAGCATCAATGGGCAACAAAGGCCGTAGTTGGAAGCCGTAACTGTAATAGTTGGTCAAATAAGCCGTAGTTGGTGACTAAATTATTGTCAATTGGCCAAATTAGATGTTGTAATTGGTGACTGCAATAGCTTTTTTTGGCCATAGAGGCCATAGTTGGAAACTATAACAAGAGTAGTCAGCCACATAAATTGTAATTGATGAAGATAATATCTTTTATTGTCCAAATAGATCATAGTTGGTGACTGTACTCCTTTAAAAGAGATCGGTGTTAAAATTTTACACCAAACACTACATTTATCTTTAAACAACATAAAGAAAAATACAGGTGTTAGGAACAACAACCGTATTCTGCCTACAAAGATCACAAAAAGTGTTCACCGACTGTCGTAGGTCAGTGTTGGCAAGCAATGTTGACCAGCAATGGTACAGTGTTCAACGGCTCTGAAGGCAGAAAGTCGTCTTTAGGTCTTCAATGCAGGTGTTACACATTACAATCATATTTGGGATACAAAGTTTGCAAACATGGATAGCGGCGACAGTCGAAGGAGTAGGAGGTCAGCGACAACAATCACTGATGGCCGACGATAGTCGACGGTTGTTGACAAATGGCGGTCGACAATGGTCGATGGCTACTTAGAAAGGGAGTTATCACCGGGTCTTCAGTCTAGAATAAACTTTGATATTCCCCTACTTCTTCCCCCTCATGTGTAGAGCGAGAGTCGATTGATAGCCTCTGAGGTAGAGGCATTTTGTTCTTCTGATCCATCACTTTGCTAACTATTTAATCAGACCGTCCACATTGATTCTTCTTGATCATAGATGATATTTTAATGATTTGTGCATCTTAATGAACTTAGAATTGAATGATCTTATGTTTATTTGATTCTTCTTGTAGAGACGCTCAATTTTACCATAGATTCATATGTTAAATTTGGAGTTAATTGGATCATCAAGTTGACGATCCCAATATCTCAATGGCTTGATCCGAGCTTGATTGGATCCAGATTGACTCATCTTTAACATCATTTGATTAGTCATTTCGAGACAGTTTGATTATAAACTCACTTAAATCAGGAGCCCGAATGATCTTGAATTTCATTATGAAATGTTTATTGTTTAAAAAATACATCAAGATTTGTGCTAGATGATAAAAATATCTCGACGAAGCAACACAATAAATGAACCAAATATATGTTATATGTTGATTATAAGATATTATACATCACATCTGAAAGGACAAATAATCCAAAAAATAATGTGAACGTCTAGTAAAGAAAGTTATTAGAGATGCTTGATTTGTTTCCACATATATATATATATATATTACATATTCTAGTGCACAATGCATCCTGCTACACATTTGTTTGTTTGCATGATTTTGGTCATATATTTAGGCCGCACATCATCTTCCGGGCCTCTGTCGCCACGACACTCCCATCACTTTTGGTCACTGCTGCTACGGTACACCTTTCTTCGGGCCACGGCCTATATATATACATTCATGCATGTACATACATATAGATATATATATTGGCAAAAGGGCAGGTACATCAAAAGTGAGGCTGGCAGGAAAATATCAAAATCAAACGGGCACCGATCAAAGAATGTTTGGCAGGTAATGGCAATATCAAGAAAGTGCTGGAAAATTTTATATGTGAGCTCTTATATAACAATTATATATAAGACTAATAAAATTATAATCCAACATATATTATTTATTTGACTAATTAGATATCTTAATATTTATATGAAATTTATATTATATGGAGACTAAGAATGTATTTTAATCTTAATGATGGGCTAAAATAAATAAATATATATATTTATATATAAATAGAGTCATACATTAATTCTCATTCTACTCATAATAATAATAATAATAATAATAATAATAATAATAATAATCATTCTAATCATGTAAAATCTAATCAAAATCTTCAGCATTAAAGCTGCCGCCATTATGAATGAAATTTGGATTGTCAATCTGGCAGACTCAACCTGACAACTTTGGACCACTCAAGCTTATAAATGCCTTCTTGAGGGTGACAGGATAACATCAGGTAAAGTAGTGCTCGAGAATACCTTAAATAGAGCAAGCAAATAAATAGATAAATAAATAAAAATAGAATTTAGTAAATTACAAAAATAAAAAATAAATGGACCCAGATATAAGCCTTCAAATTAAGTTCCTTTTATCATTATTAACTTTGTAAGCTTTGGTCGTTGATATTTAAAAATTATGATGATTTTTTTTTATTTATTTAAAAATATACTGTTAGAATTATATTTATTCACATTTTTTAACCTTACTATTGTTTTTTTTTTAACCAGTATTCACCAATATCCATCTACTATATATTAAAGATGGTTGTATGTCTTATTATAGGGGGAGACATGCATAAAGGATCATATCTTTGATGCATGAGGCAACATATAACACTCTTAAACTTTATATATATATATATATATATATA